CCACTACTCCACTCTAGAGCGCCCTCAGGTCCGGGGTCCCGGCTGGCTGTGAGCACTCAACGATAGAACTCTCCAGAAAGCCTAGACCCGCCCCCCATCCCCAGGCCGCCTCGCGCCCCCTTTGGGGACCCTGACGCAATCCAAGAGTAGGATCACGGGTTCGAGGAACCCAGAGCCAGACGGGGAGACAGGTGCCCGACCTCGCCGGGGCCCAGCGCGATCCAGGGTGCGGATGGCCGGACGCAGATGCCCCAGAGCGTCCTGCATCCTGCTCGCCGGCACAGAGGGGCGGCCAGGGGCAAGCGCGCCGGCAGCAGCAAGCGCCCCTTGCAGTGGGGTTCCCGGAGGGCCTCGAGCCCCGGATACAAACCGCCCGGCTACCTGGTCCTCGGATTTGGGAACCAAGTGTGAGAAATCTTCGGCCAGTTGGAAGCCGCACAGTCCCGCGTGTTCCCGGGCTGGGTCGGGGAAGAGGGATCGGGGCGCCCCAGGCCCCGCGCGCGCCGGGGAGGAACCCGGGTGGGCAGCACCCCGCTCCACTGCTTCAGTGTATTCCTCACCCCGCGCCGCCCGCCGACAACAACGATTTGCGAAACATCCTTCTCGCATCCAAAACAGCGAAAAATCGATGTTCGGCACCCGGACAGGGAGTCTCCGGGATTTTCCACCCGGGTCCGCTCTCCGAGACTTGGGGTGCGCTCCGCAGGGAAGGGGGCTGAGGCCACGTGGGCGGCGTCGGGGAGGGCCGCGCTGGCGGGAAGGGGGCGACGGATGCAAGGGACCCCGGGGACCCGGGACGCGCGGGGGAGGGGAAGGGACCCCGGGGACCCGGGGCGCGCGGGCTGGCACTGGCCTGCGCGTCCAGGTGCAGCTGATGCAACTCGGCGCGGAGAGGTGGGGAGCACCTGCGGAACCACTCGGACCCGGGCAAGGACCTGGCTGTGCGCTAGGCTGGGGGGGGGGGACTCACCTGGACCTGGACCTGGACCTGGACGCGGCAAAGGGGGTCGGATAGGGCTGGAGTGGCGCACAGAGGGATGCCCGGACGGCAGCACGGCGGAGACGGCGATCGGGGGGCTGGGGAGCAGCGCAGGGACCAGGCGGCGGACTGTGGGCGCAAGCGATTGGCCCAGCGACGGGGGCGGAGGGCCGGCACTCGCCAATCCCCGGCCGCAGAGCAGCCGTCCTGCGCCCTGCCCTCCCCGCCCCCAGCGCCCCCGCCCGCCCCCACCCCAGCCTTGGCGCCCTTGGCCCGGCCACCCCGCCCCCAGGCCCGGCCTCCTCCCCGCGCCGCAGCCTCCTCTCGTCCCTGTCGCCTCCCTGGCGGCCGGTGTCGGCGGCCACTTCGCCAGGTTGCTGAGCTACTTTGCTCTTGGAGAATTCTAGGACGATGAGCCGGCGACTTCAGGAGGAGCTGTGGTCCAACTCATTTCTGTGACCCGGCGTTGGAGGGCAGAGTCGTGCCTCCTGAGGCTGGGACCCAGTGGCCCAAGAGCCTGCTTCCCACCGCGCGCTGCCTATGTGACCTCTGTGGGCCTCGCTCGTCCGCACACGATGCCTGAGGTTCGCAGGAGGCCCAGCTCGCCCTAGCAACGGGGATCCAGAGGCAAAGGGCCAGAAGGACCCAGGGCAGCGGTCCCCAAAAGGGCACTAATAGCAATGTCAGAAAGAAGGCTAACGGACACGGTGGCGCATGCCTGTGATTCCAGGGCTTGGGAAGCGGGAGGACAGGAGTTGAGTTCAAGGCCAGCCTGGGCTACATAGCAAGACAAGTCCATAAAACACACAAATATAAACACGCTAATCTTGTCGGGTCCCACCCCTGTGGCTGAGTAGATGATCCCAGACCCTCCTCCGGGAGCCCGCTGGTCATGGGAGGTGCCCATCCCCTCTGAACAGTCCTGATTCTGCCATGGACCAGGCAGAGGGTGGCTCAGCCTCGGGGAGGGGAGTGAGAGTAAAACGTTGGGCTCATGAGTAGGGACAGGGAGCTAGTGAGAGCCAGCCTCAGGCCAGTGGTTGGGGAAAGTCGCTCCTGACAGGGACTTTTCTGTTATTTTTGCTTTTTTTTTTTGTCTTTTTTGAGACA